CAAACTAAATTTTAGTATTTGATTGTTTCCTGGTTAATAATTACAATATAGATTTTTTGAAAACTAAAAAGTTTCCTTTTATAATTCTAAAGCTTAAAACATACACATAATTAGAAACAAAATACAACAACAAATTGAATCTATCAAATTTATATATATATATATATATTTCATCAAATATTGACATTTACAATGAAAATAGTCTAACTACACACACACACACATATATATATATACTTACATGTATATCTTGATTCTTTTTGCTTTCTAGCAAACATAATAGTAACAATAAAAAGAATCTTTTTCCCACATAATTTAATTACCAAAAGTTTCCAAGAAACTACAGAAACAACAAACCAAATTAAAAAGTTCTAGAAATTTGGGTGGAGCCTCCTTTGTGTTATCGTGGATCCCATCGGTTAAAATTGTAGGTCCAGTTCCAGTATAAGGTCATCAGTTACTGCGGAGAAATCATATCTATCGGACCCATATATCTTATAGATACTAATCAATATATCGTGCAAGATTTTGAAACTCGGGAGAATAGTTACCCATCATAGGCATATACCAAAGAACATGGACTTTAACTGTAAACGAACACGTTTGAGATTTCACATATGATATCTTTTATTCCTTTCAAATTAATGTTGGAATATGTATTTAAAAAGAAAATTAGGCTAAAAGGGCCTCATGTTTTTGCATGAATCTGCGTTCTTAAGGCCTCATATCTCAGTTTGTGCTTAGTGATCCTTTTCATCACGTTCTATTCAAGAAAGGTGTACATAAATACCGGTTTGGGGGTCAATGTGGGGCTTAAGCAATATGGTTGGTGATTATTCATGCATGTGCACCACACAAAATGGAGAAACAGACTGAATTATAAGAACCCACAAATTTATTCTTAAAGCTGTCATATATTTGTTTTGTTTTTGTTTTTTTTAAAAGCCTTGTTACTTTTCTTTTTTCCTTTGAGAAAAAAGATCAAATATAGGAGTGTTGGTCAATATTGGTTCTTGGGACCATACTCTCTGAGCAGAATAAAATTCACGAGGGCAAATATAGACTAGAAGCGCAACATATAAAGATTGTATATCTAATATATGTGATTAATTTGGTTACAATTAATTTAGTATCACTATATTTCTGACATTAGTATTTATTAAGCACCTTGATTTTTGATACTCCTTTAGGAGAGTAATCTGTAAATAAGAAGTTAGAAGTGAAAGATCCGTCTGGACCCCCATAGGAAGTGAGTAATAAGCTAGCTTTAGGCAGTGGGATGTGATCGAGACAGTGCACCATAAGTTGAATATATTGGAGAACAAAGCACACATGCAATCAGGAAAAAAAAAAAAAAAAAAAAAAAAAAAACATAAGGTTCCGGTTGTTGGGTAAGTGTTCGACATTGTGTTTAAGGCGTGAAGGAGACAATTCTAGTGCGTTGATCAACTCGTTTAGTATTGCTGGCTGGCCTCTCTCGATTAATTTTCATTGGATTTTAATCATGATGTTTTACGAACATACTAATTAGCTCTAGTAATTTACTTTAGTTATATGCTGATGTAACATTTGAATAACAACATTATTACTAATAATACACTTTAATTAATATCTTCAAGATTCATTAGATTAGTAACCGGCGTGTGATTAAGATTATTAGTAACATTGTCAAAAAGCAAGACACTTCTCTTTTTCCGTACAAGGCAGTTGGTATGCTCTCTCTCCGCTTACAATAAATTAAACATTCATTTTTTGCCTAGTAGTAAATACTATTCTTATTATTTAGAAATGAATTGTATTACCTTAAAATCTCTTAAACCCATATTTAGACATCTTTATTAAGGAAACCAGGCCATGTGAAAAGCGAAGAACCTTATGGTTGTAGTGAACTAACAAGCATGGTTGCCTATAGGATACATATATACAATTCCGGTCGGTAATACGAAGTTGGACCACACCCTCGCTGTCATCTTGCCACGTGTCCTTGTTGCACATGTAATGTTGGTGTCACCATCTACGTACGCGCGTAGATTCTAATTCTGGAACTAAATATTGTTAGAGAAAGCAATAGGATCTATAGCCATTAAGGGATGCATATCCAGAATATTTCGGACCATTTTATTATTCTTTTCACAACATGTTATGGAATATAAACACATTATAAAGAGGAAGTCCACTTTGTTTTGATGTTTTCGTCGTGTAATTATAAAAATTGTCGCCTCAACTATCTAGTTTAATCCAGTGTGTTATAAATGATCTTAGTGCTTTGAGTTTTTTAATCTTCCATTAACTATATTAGTCCTGTTGAAAAAGCTAACCTTTATTATGCTCTATATTTGTATGCCAAGCTAGATTTTTATTTGTTGGATCTTACATATGCATTCACCTATGTGCTCTCTATTCGAATTTAATTTACTGATCCAAGTCATTGTTCGGAGTTGAATATCCTGGTATAAGTTATCTAGCCCATCCTTTTAGAGCTGGAATATCTTTCATCTTTTTGAGATTTACTCAGAAAAAAGAAAAACGAAATTGTGCTTTTCAAAATTTTTCCAATAGAACAAATTCAATGGTAAAAGAACACTAAAAACGAAATTAAAGAAAGAAAAGAAAAGGAGTGAATTTTGCAGATTCGCCAAAGAAGGGTGTCGACCAGAGAGATTAGTTTTCCAAGATTCTCTCGTGCAAACAAAATCTATTTTAGCTGTCAGGCATGTACTTATGTGACTCGAAAGAAGATGAAATAGGGAAGAATGCAATTAAGATCACAACTGGCTTGGTCAGGGTGTTGTCCGACCGGTTCATGCAGGCCGGGTCAGGCCCTGAGGGCCATTTTATTTCTCCGACTCAGCTTTTGCAATTTATGCTATTATTATAAAGTATATATATTTTGGCTGTCAGATAAAAACACTTAACGATCGAAAGGCCAAAAATATTCTCTTTTTGAAATTTTGAATGATGGTGGTCTCAATTGATGGGGGGCAACATGTCTCTTAAAGCGAGGGGTGTTGAATATCAGAACGCACAGCTTTTGCAATTGAGAAAACTTTGTGTGAAGAGAGAAACCTTTAATTTATAACGTTATAAATTAGTGGAAACACTTCATTAGGGTAATAGGCTCTTTATGAAGAGGATCATCAACATCTTACAAAACAAAAGTTTAATTCCATTGATTAAGATAATCACAGTACTAAAAGTAATTATAAGTTTTCATAACTTGATTTTTTTTTTCTTTTCAAAAAAGTAAAACGTACTCCGGAAAAGAGGGATTCTTCCTGTTGGCTTCTACTTTACATACTATGGTCCTCTCTACCTAAGTGGTGTATATTTTTTTCTCCCCTTTCTCAAACAATGGTGGACCTCCTCATCAAAAAGAAGGATCCCCTAATTTTAACCATTTGTTAGTTGTCTTTTTCTCTTTGTTCCGAGCAAAGATAATGTTTCGTTTGGATTGTCCGTGGATCCCCATTAGTATTACTCACATCAAAAGAATCTCTAATTATCACTTGTTAGGATGCTCAATCAAAACGTTATGGAGCCTATTTTAGTTTTCATTTTATGTTAAGAATCAATATCTAATTAAACAGAAAGAAAATTAAAATGAAATAAGCAACAATCAGCGGAACTTTAACTTCAATAGGAGAGTCGTTTGTTTGTCATCGCATGGTCGTTTAAGAGCTTTGTTATTTGTTGTCGTTTAATTGTTTGTTTATTTTTCATTGTCATTACTTTTTTAAACCTGTTGTAATTCGCTGCCCTGGCGAACGTAAAAGGAAAAACTTTAATTTGTAAGCAAATTTTAATAGATCATAACTATACATCAACCAGAGATGAGGTGTGCCTACTCCTCCTCTCAATCACCATAGATTTGAAATGAACTATAAGCTTCTTGCGGCGTCAATAGAATAATTGGCAAATAAACTGAATGTATCCTCAATTCTCTCTTTTCTTTTTTCTTTTTTTTTTTTTTGAAAGGTCAATTCTCCATTTTTGAAATTCTATAATTAGCATAGAATTTTTGGTGAACGTACGCGTATCGCTCTTTAATTAATAGAAACATTACTTACACAAAAAAATAATAATAGAAACCCTAATCTGAGTTTTTCTATCACCTCCGCCAAATTATATATGTATCTTTTCACTGTATAATATAATAAACATATCAAATGATTGCATCATATTGAATCGCATGAATTCATGTGTGGTTCTCATGTATACGCGGCGGGTGTAAATAATTTCACATAAATATATAATATATACAGGCCGCATTGCCTTTTGCCATGAGAATTAATTATACAGGTCTTGAGTAAAAGCCATAGGCCGGGATCAGAAGAAGAAAAAAAAAAAAAAAACCAATCTTGTAAAAGTAGATAGAGCTAGTAACGCTGACCATAAAAATACAAACTACAAGTAGTAGCAGTAGTACTCCCATCAAAATAAAATAATGGTTGCGGATAGAAAAATACATGAAGAAATGTTTGTAAAGCTCTCATAAGATATTAGATAGAAGAATATTAGAGAAGAATGTGGTGGGGTTATAGGCTTTCACGGGGGTTGAGAAGGGCATATGGGGTACCCACATTCCCCCCTCGTGCGCGCTATCTATCAATGGCGGCTCGGCCCTCTCTGGCCTCTCCTCAATTATCATCATTAATAGCATGCCTCCAAAACATAACTTCTTAAATATTACGATTCTTTACTCTCTCTCTCTCTGATTTTTCTTTGTAATATAGTATAAGTGCTAGCTAGTGCGATGAGGGTTGTCTTGTCAGCTAATTAGGAGAGAGAGAGAGAGAGAGCAAGCGTGGAATAGAGAAGATAGAAGAAGAATGTGGGAGACAACCAAAAACACATGAAGCTTAGCAACAGTTGACATAACATATTTTAAGGGCCCCCTGTGGGCCCACATCTCCTTTCTCACACACTCACTTCTTTCCCTCTATCTGACTCGGTCCTATTTATATCTCCCACCATTCCCTTGCGTTCTCCATCGCTTCCCTTTGCCCTTTCACTCTTCTTTCTAGCTATATGATTTATTTTCTTTCTTTTCTTCTGTTTTGATCATCAGCTTTCTATAATATTTTCATATTATAATAGTACTTTGTTTAGGAGCTTCATTAGTATGGCGGATACAGGTTCGGCCTCCAGAAGGAGAATGTGGTGTTCGGTGCCTGAAAGGCTCCAACTGCACGGGGCCATGTTGGCCCTGCAGTTTGGTTACGCAGGGTTCCATGTCGTTTCAAGAGCTGCCCTTAACATGGGCATTAGTAAGCTTGTGTTCCCAGTTTACAGGAACATCATTGCGCTGCTTCTGCTCCTCCCCTTTGCCTATTTCTTAGAGAAGTAAATACATACATCCCAAACACAACGAAAACCATGTTTTTTTATATATGTTTTATGATCTTATTTAAGGTGAATACAATGATATTTATATGTTTTTCATCTACGTTATGATCAGGAAGGAGAGGCCTGCAATGACCCTAAATTTTATGCTACAGTTTTTCCTCCTCGCGCTTGTCGGGTATGACCACATGTTCAAAGAACTAATATACAAAGAAAAGAAAAAATTGTACTTGAAGTATAAATATTCACGCTTATATTACATGTATTATTTCTACACTTGTCACAGAATAACAGCAAACCAGGGATTCTATTTGCTGGGGCTAGACAACACGTCACCCACCTTCGCTTCCGCAATTCAAAACTCTGTTCCTGCCATTACCTTTCTCATGGCAGCCATACTCCGGTAATAATAAATCAATAAGATTTCTCTTTTCTCTTCAACAATTTACCTTTAACCCTAAAAAAAAAAAACAGCAGTTACATATATTATAATAACTTTTCTGATCAACTCTCTCTTTTCTCATAAATACAGCATAGAGAGAGTAAGATTAGACCGAAAAGACGGTATAGCAAAGGTTCTTGGAACTATCTTCTGCGTGGCCGGAGCCTCAGTGATCACCTTGTACAAGGGTCCAGTGATCTACAACCCATCTCCACCAGGACTTCAAAGCGTGCAGGAACCAATGTTTCCATCACTCGGAGATGCCAGCGGCAAGAACTGGACTCTTGGTTGTATTTACCTCATCGGTCATTGCCTTTCATGGTCCGGTTGGCTCGTTTTGCAAGCCCCACTGCTGAAGAAGTACCCTGCAAGGCTCTCCGTTACTTCTTATACGTGCTTCTTTGGACTAATCCAGTTCGTGATTATCGCTGCGATTGTTGAGAGAGAAGCCAAGGCTTGGATCTTCACCACTGGCGGTGAAGTCTTCACTATCTTGTACGCGGTGAGTAACAAGACTCGCTCAACTCAGTGTATATATATATAAGTCCTCTTCACTGAGTCAAACCATGAGTTAGAGTTGATCCATATTACTTTACACATATGAAGTTGGAAAGTGAGTCAAAAAGTATATGTACATGTGAAGAAATCCAGTAGTTTGTATGTCTAAGAAAAATCAAACTGATCATAAGACTTTTTTAAACCTAGAATATGGGAAATCTTTCTTTGATACTGATCATGCCAACCATGCGATGTATGAACGTGCACTTATTCCTTTATTTTATCTCTCTTTTGCCTTTAGGAAGGTATGTGTGTTGTTTCCTTATTAGAAATTAGTTAGAGTGTCAGAGCTGACTATGAGGGGTCCGATGGGTGGATTCTGTTGTAAAGTTTGTCAAGTCTTGTATCAGAAATAAAAGGGTGACAATGGATGGTGACATGTCTGTTAGGCTAGTTTTAACGAGTTCATCGGATCTGGTTTATGCATCACATTACATAACATAACTGATCACTTTTCTTGTTTTTTTCTTTTGATAAAAGATCACTTTTATCTTTATCATCTTCGTTTTTATTTCCTCTCTCTCACTACTTTTTAGGTGTTAAATGACAAACTAGTTGTTAGGCAATAATGCATATTGAGCGGTGGGCATATATTGAGAATGAAATTTATAATGAGAATATGTTTATATATATATATATAAATTATATTACTTTTATTTGATCATTTGATATGATGATTATGTAAATATTGCAGGGAGTGGTGGCATCAGGGATAGCCTTCGCTGTACAGATATGGTGCATTGACAGAGGTGGCCCTGTGTTCGTTGCCGTGTATCAACCTGTTCAGACTCTCGTTGTCGCTATCATGGCCTCCGTTGCTTTAGGAGAAGAGTTCTACTTGGGAGGGTGGGTCCCATACTATATCGCTTAACAAATTCCCATTCTACTAATTTATCTTTCTCAAATTATCTCATATGAACCATATGCAATGTTCCATATCAAAGTAGTAGTGCAACCGTACGATATTAGGATCTTTGACCGCATAGACCCAATCTTTGACTTCAATTCTAAATTATTACAACAATAGAATGCTCACTAATGGTTTATCAAAAATGACTAGGTAAAAGGGATTTATAAAAAAAATTTGTGGTACAAAATAAGGTCAGGTAATGTTTGTACGTATGGATCTACATAAAAACAGATCATATGCTTGTAATTTACACGAATTGTGGACAGGCGGTGGGGATATCTAAGGCATAATTTTTTGGTCAAATACTAATGAGAGAGGCGGAAGGACAGCATAAAAGTACCACAAATGAACAGAAACCTCAACTACATATATAATAAATTAAGTAGTGCAATAAATTAATACAGCACATCATGTTTTCTAGCTTCGTTTTCAATTTTTATGAGATATAATATATATATATATATATATATAGAGTTGTTAACTATAATACATGATTGTGATGCGCAGGATCATTGGGGCGGTGCTGATCATAGTGGGGCTGTACTTGGTGTTGTGGGGTAAAAGCGAAGAGAAAAAGTTTATGGCACAAGAAAAGGCTGCGATTCAGCCCGCACCGGAGCACTCCAACAACAGCAGGATCAAGACCTCTCTCACTCAGCCACTCCTTCCTTCTTCAACCGAAAATGTTTAATCAGCAATACCTTAACCTTTTTTTGGTTGTTTAACTACATCAGCGCTTTGGCTTTTGAAGAAGAAAAAGAAAGAAAAAGAAGCCACTACTCTATATCAGAAAGCTTTGTGTGTGTATTGAGTTTTGCTTATTTTGTTTTGTCTTCCCAATGGCTTTCTTAGAAGGAAAGTTGAAAAAAAAAAAGGGATCTCTCTTGAGGGGATGAATATGATCATTAGTGTCACTTTTGTGGGCCACAGGGCCTGAAATCCTCCCATGCTTTATATGTTAATTTTATGGTTTGATTTACGAGAAATTAAAGATTTCCACATTATAAATTAGCCAATGTTGCTTTCTATTTTACTTTACATCATCATAACATATACATATTTATCGATCGTGAAGGGACCCACAAAAGTTCCCAAGCCGTGATCACTATTGGCTTCTAAAGCGGCCAAGCATGCAGCTGATATGTGCATGCCTTGCGACAGTCATGTTCACACATACAAATATGCCCATTTTTATATTATTCGGTTGGAAAGGGAGCAATAAGCCTAATCAAAATTCCCTATTATACTTCAGATTTGGTTCAATAATGAATAATCAAACATGATTGTTATATGGTAAATTGAGAAAGAGAGAGAGAGAGCCCACTAGAGTCCAATTTCAGCTCTGTGAAGAATGTCATAATGTGCCTGCAGTGGAGGAGGCAAGATGTGACATCCACTATTTAAACGTGGAGCAGTTTAGGCCATGATTATGGAAAATTAACAAGCAAAATGCGACAGGGATATAGTAATACACCAAGCATAAAAATCCAAGTTTTTCAACTTATTATACACTAGATGCGGTACTGGATCATGACACTTGAGTTGGACGAAACATGAAAGCTAAACCAAACTGTTGTGCCAGCCATGAGGAATACAATGGATAATCTCCTGTCGTCCTCCCTTTAGCCATAATTAGTGTCAAATATTTAGATTAATATATAATCTGTTCTAAAAAAGGTCTTTATGGATCACATGCGTAAGAAAATCATGTATAAAGACTAAACAAAGCAAATGTAAAGGTAATTCGGAATTGTGCTATATAATATTGAGCACCCATAAATGGTAATCAGGCCAAGACATTGCCGTGTTAGAAGATCCGTGTGCCGACAAAATTCTAGGTAAGATTTTAACGAATTATTCAACTTGGAAAAAAGCTAACTACACTCGCCAGTGCGCAAGCATCCAAAGCACAGTCTACTGACATATCCTAAGATCACATCATTAAAGTGATTTAAAATCCTGGGTTAGCATAATTACGTACCTGCCTTTTTCTTAAAAAGCAAATATTCATCTTCATTCACTTTCCTTTTCAACGGTACATCCATCACTTAATTGGCCGGCAATTTAGAGAATCACAGAAGAACACCGAATGAAATGAAACATTACATAACTGCAGTTTTAACGGTAATGCTAAGTTCAACGGTGAGAAAAAAATATATTTAAAATTTAAAACTCACACAAAAACATTCTCATGAATGCCCATTTAATTTCCATTTTTCTAACAGGTCAATCAAGTTGAAATCTCCTCCTTCTACTCCCACGACTATTAATTAACATTATCATAGAATAAGGCATCGTCTCTCACATTATTAATACTAGTTAAAAATAGTTATGCACTGCTATCGGAACTCAATGCAGTTCTTCCCTTTTTTTTTTTTAAGTTAGGGCACTATATTATCCATTTTTGAAAATGTTAAAATTGTTATAATAATCAGTACTATTATAATTTTGTTATTTCTAACGTATTTAGAAATAAATCGCTATGTTTCAATTTGATTATGAGAAACATGCCGTGTTTTTAGATTATTAGAGAAACACAAAACGAAGAACTTTTTCTAGAATTGACTTTTATAATTCCTTCCTTTGTTCAATATTGCCCTTTTTGTTTAAATTATTTAAGTTGATTTATTCTAATAAAATGACAGTTATGATTAAGAAGCTCAATAATAAAAATGTGACTAGTATAAAAGAGTAGTTTTGCACTTTTTCCAAACAAAAAATTAACAAAATTACTAAACGGTTCTGCAGAGCCGTTGAGCAAAGATAAGAAAGAAAAAGTGTGACAACAAAGCTAATTAGGGCTCATTTTGGTCCCATCTCAAGTTCATTTTTTTTCTGGAAGCTAAGGTGTGGAATTACCAGTCTCAAAATATGCTATAAAAAACTGTTTTTTTTTTTTTTCCTGCGTTTTCTGCTTGAAGGAAACATAACATTTCAGGTTGCTTCACTCTCATGGCTACGCCAAGCTGCCCACCCTTTTGCTTCTTTGAATAAACTCGGTGAAAGGGGCAAACTCAATAAAACCTCACCTTACCATCATAGTCCCCTACTCTCTCTCTCTCTTATATAAAGAAAGATGAATAAACAACAAAGTTTGGATATTTTGAAACTTTTTTATTTAATTTTTTAATTGTTAACGTTTAAATAATATGTCAATATAAGTCATTGAGGCCATTTTTGACATTGCAAAAGATTGTCTTTTTTTTAAGCAAAAAAACATAAAAGTTTGGTTAAAGGGTTATTTTCTAAACCTTTCATTAGAAAGAAAATTTTTTAAAATTGATCTGTGAAATCAATATCGCTCTTTTTGTTTAGTATTATCCTTTTTGTTTAAGTTGTTTAAGTTAGATCAATTTTAATAAAGAGGTAGTTATTTTTAAGAGGGTCAATAATAACAATATTACTTTTTATAAAAGGGTAGTTTTGGACTTTTTTTTATTTGGGGATATTTCAATGATTTTTTATTAAATAAGTTCTAAAAGTTCAATTCCACTGGTTAGTAAAAAAAAAAAAAAATACTAATTGTTTAAAAGCTCATGTTTTTCTAATGTATATTTTTTGACAGTAAAATATATATGAAACACGCAATCGAAACAATCCCATATCACTTGAAAATGAGGCAATCTCCTTCACGGTTCTCTTTATAAGACAGATTATATATTTACATGCATTATGTATGTTGGGATTTGTTTCCCAATTTGTGTAATGATTGTAATCGGATTTGATTGGCATTATTTTGGGAATGTTTTGTTGCGATGATTGCATTTGGAAATATCTATGTAGCTGGCAAGTTTCTTTTGGCAAGTTTCAAAAAATCCAGAAACTTATTTTAGTTTCTATTTTTCTAAGTCAACCATTGATTCAAAGATGGAAAATTGATTTGATTGATTCTTGATTGAGATTTCATAGCTGGATGATCTTCCTATGTTGCCTAAGAACGTGTCCAGGTTCGTTTATCAGTTTTGGGAAGATATCAGAATTAAAGAAGATTGATTCGTCTGGTTTTGAGAAAGTTGGCCGTAACAACTATGTTGGAGTGTTGTTGCAATAGGATCTGCAACAGATGTGGTTCAGCGAATTAATTGAAGATGTGTCAAGCTATTCATAGCTTGCTTATTTATTGAAAGTGTTCCTTAAGTCTTGGTACGCCTCTTGATGAGTTTTTACTGGGTTGTGAGACAGGGGTGAGCACTTATATTGAGTGAGATGATTTGAGTGTTTTTCGGGAGAAAAACTTTGTTGGAGGGATTCCAATGTTAAAAAGTCGAGGGGATCTCGTTGTTCAAGTCCATTGGGAAATTGCAAGTTCATAGGCGTCTTCTTAGAGAGGGAGTCTCGGGTAGATTAAGTCCAATTGAATTGTAAAAGAGTTCTTAGTGGATTATTCATCATCTGGGCGTGGCCTCGCGGAGTAGGGTGTTACCGAACCGCGATACCATTTCTCTTGTGTTCTTTTATTTTATGTCTCTACATTATTCATATTGTCTTATAAATTATTAAAAGACTAAAACCGGTACTAACAGTTGGTATCAGAGCGGGTCACTGACGTATTTTTTGGTGAGGTCCTAGTGTACTGGTTGATTTTGCAGGAATGGATGTCTTGAGAGAAGGAGGATTTGTGAACAAACCATCGCTTCTGGAAGGTGTCAATTACCCCTATTGGAAGGCTCGCATGAAAGCTTTTATTAAAGCTATTGACGAGAAGGCATGGCGATCTATCTTAACCGGATGGACTCATCCAACAACTAAAGATGATAAAGGCAATTCCGTCCCTAAGCTAGAAGAGAAATGGTCCAACGATGAGGACAAGCTTGCAAACAGTAATTCAAAAGCTTTAGATGCCATTTTCAATGCTGTGGATGTTAATCAATTTAAATTGATTTCCACGTGTGAAACCGCAAAAGAAGTTTGGGACATTCTTCAAACTGCACATGAAGGCACGGATACTGTAAAGACTTCAAAGCTTCAAATGCTCACAACTCGCTTTGAATGTTTACGAATGGAGGAGGATGAGTGCATTGCTGATTTCAACTCAAAGTTTTGTGATATTGCCAACGAAGCCTTTGCCCTTGGAGAAAAATATACTGACACCAAATTGGTGAAGAATACCTTGAGATCACTTCCGGCACGTTTTGCTTACAAAGTGACAGCCATCGAAGAAGCAAAAAACGTGGAGAAGATGAGACTTGATGAGCTCATAGGTAATCTTCAAACCTTTGAGATGAACTTTAAGGCTAAAAAGAAAAGTAGAGGCATTGCTCTTAATGCAGATTATGATGATATGTCCACTAAAGATGAGACCGACGAAGATGAGGACTTGAGTGAGTCTCTTACTTTTCTCACCAAAAAATTCAATGAAATGCTGAGAAAGTTTAACAAGAAAGGGAGATTTGGAGAGAATTCAAAGAACAAAAATTCCCAAAAGAAGAATTTTAATTCTCAATGGTTTGAAGAGAAGAAAAGAAAAGAGGGAATACAATGCCGAAAATGTGAAGGATTTGGACATGTTCAAGCGGAGTGTGCAAACACTTTCCAGAAGAAAAATAAGGCTGCCACGACGTCATGGAGTGATGATTCGGACGAAAATCAAGAGGATGCAGATGATCACACCAGCAATTATGTGGCTTTCACTGTAAGAAGTGAATTCTCGGATAAAAATTTATTTTTCACTGATAATGTTGTTACAGAGTCTGTTGCAACAGCGTCTGCAACAACCTCTAGTGGAATTGTTGATGATACAGATTTCGGGGATGAAACTGAAGATGACAGTGACGATGATGACCTAAGCCTTGGGAAGATTCAGGAGGCTTATAAGAAGATGTACAGCAAATGGCTTGTTGTTTGCAAACGAAACAAATCACTTGAAGATGAAGTTGGTGTCTTAACAAAG